ACCTCAATAAAGCTGAAAAAATATACAAAAGAATAAAAATAATACAAACTCCTGGCCCAGTCACCATTATTGCTTCATACTGTTTTAGTCCCAACTGTTAAGATTTAAGCTCAGATGGTCACAGTGACTCACTATGGGAGGCTTTTCCCTGTATATTATTTGCTCCCCTCCACCCCACAGGTCACCAATAAAACTCCGGCTATAGCCACTAGGCCACCTACCACTTAGTGTAAATTTCCAGGTCAGCCTTCCCTAATTCTAGCAGAACCTCCATAGCAAATATGCATCTCAGTCACTTTTGCATTCCCGATTGAGGCCCGCAGAAAAAAATTTTTTTTTTTTGTACAAGTGTTCTTTCCATAGAAGGGGACAGCATCTCAGAGACAACTCCTTACAGGACATCATTCATGCAGCTAACAATTACAAAGGAGCTACTCATGTGAGGCACTGAGTAGGCCCGCAGAGCAAGGCTCAGTGTCAGAGAGGAAACGGACAGGTGTCCATCAGATGCTGCAGGCTCTACCAGGTGGGGCATCTAGCCTGACTTTGAAGTAGGGGTGGTTCTGTCAGCAAAGGCTTCTTAGAGGTGATATTTACTCTGAATAATGAAGAATGAATAGGAGCCCCACGTGGGTGGGAGGTGGGAGTTTCCCTGTAAAAGGAACACTTTGTGCAAAAAGGTCTCAAGCTGGGAAAGAGTGTGAGCCAGTTTAGCTGGATTCTGGATTTGGAGCCCTGCTTTGGAAGGCAGGTGGGAAGCTGTGATGAACCTGTTAGGCCATGAAACGAGTTGGAGTTTCGCATTTATCTAGATTCTAGAAAACTCTATAAGGCAATATGGAGCTTTTGAAGGACTTTAAGCTGCGTAATACCTTGTTCACATTTGTGTTTCTGAAAAATAACCTTGGCTGCCTCATAGAGAGTAGCTGGAAGCAAGGCGAAGCTAGAGGCTGGGGACCTCTTAGGGCTGCTTTGGTTCTGAGGAAGTTAATGGCAGTCTGGGCAAGGTCAAGGTCAAGGAGGGAGGCTTGAGCAAGAGGATGTTACACGTGTGCCTCCACCCCAGCCCAATCATCTTCTTGCCCACAGACCACCCGCTTCCCTCCACAGCATCCTAAGCTTAAGTCCTTGTCATGAAAACCTAACCAAAGAGGCCATCCCTGTCTCACCTAAATCACGGATCCTGCCGCCGAGAGCAGGAGTGACTTAAGCTCATTGGAAACGGCCAAACCTTGTGCCAGAACAAAGTGGTTAAACCAGAGTCTCCCTCTTCTGTGGGCTTTGAAACAATTGTCCTAATGAGTGCTATTAGCAAGGCTCCTTTCTCCCATCTCACTTCTCCCAGGTCTGAGAAGGAAAAGGATTGAGAAATCCACTCTAAGTGTTCAGCTTTAAAGCAGAAGCGGTAGGAGCTCCTGCCCCACATTGCTCCTCCACTGCCGGCTGCATTCCCAAACCCTGGAGAGCAGTTTGGGCCCAGGGGCCTGTCCTTGATAACAGGCCTGGCTTCTGGAGCCAACGGTAGGAATGGGGAATTCTTCGCCCGATGAGCCCACTGCCCTGCTGGAGGCGGTGCCTGGCACTTGTGTAGGGAGTATTCTAGTGGGCCCTCACGTCTTCAGGGCTAGAAGATGTATCCTTCTCAAAACATCTGTCTCCCAGTCTCTAACGTAGGGATATGGTTGCTGTTGTTCAAAGGTTTACTAGGTTAATCAAAATAAAAGTAGGGCTGGCCAGGCCACATAGCTCAGTTGGTTAGAGTGTTGTCCCAATATGCCAAGGTTGCAGGTTCAATCCCCAGTCAGGGCACATGCAAGAATCAACAAATGATGCATAAATAAGTGGAACAATACATCAATGTTTCTCTCTCTAAAATTAATTAATAAAAAAATTTTAAAACCCACAAAAGCAGTAGGGATTTAAGTCACAGACTTAAGCTGCTACTGGCACTGCCTGTAAGGGGACTACATATATATAATTTAAATATATCTTTATTGATTTCAGGGAGAGGGAGAGAGAGAGATAGAAACACCCATGATGAGAGTCATTGATCAGCTTCCTCCTGCACAACCCCTGCTGGGGATTGGACACGTAACCCAGGCACGTGCCCTGGCAGGGAATTGAGCCTGTATCTCCTGGATCATAGGCTGATGCTCAACTGCTGAGCCACGCCTGCAGGGCAAGGGGACTATATTTTTCAGGGAAAGAGGATTTGTGTCCATACTGGGAAGTTGTTAAATTAGGAAAATATATCTTCAGCTGTTAAGTTTCCAAAATTCCTTTAAAAATCCTTTGATGCTTTTTTTGCTGGTAGTAGTGGGGGTGGGATTAGCTGGTGAGCTATGGGCCTGGAGATCGACCCTGGGAGATGGGCCAAAACTTCTCCAAAGCTTTTATCCAATGATGTGCCCATGCAGATGCCCAGGTGGGCCTCTCTGTGCCCCTCATAACGCACCCTCTCCAAATGATCTTCTCAGGCACTTTTAATAGGAAACATTTTTCCTAGCTTTACTAAAAACAAAAAACAAAACCCAACTTTCATTTCTGACATTTTTATTTTCCAAGGAAACCTCTTTAAGATGCCCTGACTGGTGTCCCTGCCCTACCCTTCCTTAGAATTCAGCCTGGACATAACGATACTTACGTAGTATTTGGCATGGACTCAAGCTATACCTTTGGTTTTGTTTTCCTAACTAGACTGTGAGGTTCTCGAAGGCCAATATCGAGGCTGCTTCCCAGGACACTTACTGGCACTGATCCTTGAAGAACTAATGAATGATTATTGATTGGCAGGGGCCACTCAATCTACTAAAGTTTGAGGAAGGGCTGGCAGGCAGCAAGAGCCACCATCTGCATGTTTTTATCCACAGGCTCTGCCTCTACCTTGTAGATTCTCCAGGTTTTCCCAGCATCCATGGGTGATCTGGAAGAACACATTCTGGAATTGAAATCACGAGGGAAGGGACTGGCAAAGAGCCCTAGTTGAAAAAGTGTTTTAATGCCAGAAAATCACCAAGGCTATAGAGAAAACCTATCCACTTGCTTACTGGCCTCACTGTGAAACAGAAAGGCCAGGAGCTACTAACGTTTCACAGTGCAATCCAGGTTAAACAATCACAAGGCGTGTGAACATGGGCAAACCACTTGACATCACTCAAGCCAGCAGAAAAATTGGATAAAAAGCAATCTTTGGCAAGGCAGCACTGGAACAGCTTCCCCAAACACAGCCCCTTTCTGCCAAAGCAAGCTTCTGCTTATTGGTGGTTCAGATTCCAAAGCACACCTCCCAATACCAAGTTTAAGTGCACAGTTGTCATTGCCATTGGCTGCCACCTTGTGGTCTCAATTACAACTGCCTATCAAGAGTGAAGCAGGTGGCTACCGAGACGAAACCACATGTGTAGGATTTTTCTCTCACTTGTCTAATATTGTACCCCACAAATATAATCCCCAAGTCCTTGTACCCCTTAGGAAGATCCACGTCAGCTGCCAGTTTTGCTGCCTGGCCAAAGCTGCTGCCTCGAAATCTTTGACCCTGGCTTAGAAAGCACATTATACTGCAACTATGTAGTCGTGGTTTGTTCTGCAAGCCAAGCCGAAGGCATCTGACCCAGCAAACCTGTCTGCACCTTCACCGCCCCCTTCCTGACACCGTGCCAGGTATATGGTGTTTATAGTGGGCCACGGAAATGGTCCCATCGAAAAATTTTTTGTTTTTGGATACATCTTTTTTGACTTCAGAGAGGAGGAAACATCAATGATGAAAGTCATTGATCAGCTGCCTCCTGCACACCCCCCACCAGGGATGGAGCCCACAACCCGGGCATGTGCCCTGACTGGGAATCAAAGGGCAATCTCCTGGATCATAGGTTGATGCTCAACCACTGAGCCACGCTGGCCGGTTTTAATTTTTAATTGACTTGAGAGAAACATCTATTTGCTGTTCCACTTATTTTTTAATCCTCACCCAAGGAGTGAGGGTATTTTTTCCATTGATTTCCAGAGTGGAAGGGAGGGGAGGGAGAGGAGATAAACAATGAGACACATCCCTAGGTTGCCTCCTGCACACACCTTGATGCAGTAGGAATTGAATCTGCAACCCAGGTTCATGCCCTTGACCAGGAATCGAAACAGACCCTCCAGTGCGTAGGCTCACTCCAACCCGAGCCACACTGGCCAGGGCTGTCCCACTTATTTCTGCATTCACTGGTTGATGCTTGTATGCGCCCTGACTGGGGAGCGAGCCTACCACCTTGGTGTATCCAGGTGATGCTCCAACTGTACCACCTGGCCAGGGCTCCATCAAATCCTGATACCTGCACCAAAATCCCACTTGGCCCCAAGGGACACCCTGCTCTTACCCATTAACTTATTCTCTTACAAAGCTCCAGGAAAACTGGACAACGCACCTCCCTTTTCCAAGAAGCCCCAGGACAGAAACTCCAACTGTCCAATGTTTACTGATTATGGAATGACAAAGATCCCAGGTCTTCAGCTGGCCGGGCAGTCCCTTTCAGATGCTTTTTCAGCTAAGAGTTTCCTCCTTTGTTTTTGTAAAGCCCAAACCTTTAAGGTTGAGACTAGTCAACTGTAGGTCTAAACACCATTCCTGCAGTTTCTCCCCCTTAAGTTTGTCTGTGAAGGGTTTTAGAAGTGTTCCACTGGTTTTTTCTTACACCCTACCTCCCCAGCACCTCTCGGATATTCCCAAATAGGCACAGAATCTCAGTTCCAAGACCAACAAAATAGCAGCTTCCCACCACACGGATCTGAGCCAGCATGGTCGGTCTGGTAAAGATGCTCAGCTTTCCAACCGCCTCCCAGAATGGTAACCACACTGGACATGACTCTGCAAAGAGAGCCCAAGTCAAAACAACACGTGATGTCACTCTGGATTAGGCAACTCCCAAAACCAATCCAGTCTTGCCCCATTTACATTCTGACCCTTAGACCATTCCAGTTCAAGCTCTATAATGCAAATAAAACAGGGGCACACGACATTATTTTATGACCACAAGTTTATTCAACACAAAACAATCCCTCCAACTTTACTGAGGTGGTTGACCACGTCCACGACCAAATCCGCCTCTCTGCAAGAGAAAGCACATGACATTAGCATTAGCAGTAAGCCAGGGGACAGCAGGCCTCTTTGTCACCGGTGAGGCCCCCCTCAGAGAGTACAGGTCAGAAATCCTAGCCTTGCCTTACTGGCTGTAGGGCCACTCACCTTTCAGGCCTGTTTCCTCATTTGTAAAGTGAGAGTATGGACACACACTCAGGAGTGTGCTCACATACACAGAAATGGAAGCGCTTAGCACAGGAGAAGATCTTGTGTCTGCCACACACACCCCTTTCCACTGTGCTGTGAATACCTGCCACAGGACAGCTGCCGTCCCAGCATTGATAGCCCAGCCCCCATGCAAGCACCTGACCTGGATTAACTAATCTCAGAATGATCTCGAGACAGCTACAATCATCACCTCTATTTTATAAGTGAGGCAACTGGGACACAGATCACACCATCTGAAGGAAAACAGAGGATCTGATTCCAGTCCATCTCGGTTTTAGAGCCTACTCAATATCCAGTGACAGATTCTCAACCTTACGTTTTGGTTCATGAAACTAATTAAAAGAATTACAATCATTATTAAAGAAATAGAAAAGACCACTATGCTACAGGTAGTATTGATTTGTGAGACTCATTTCAGTAAAGTTTACACACTGTCTTAATGTAAAAAACTTATTTGGAATTTGTGGTTTTGGGGGGGGGGGGAATGAGGGGTGAGACCCACCACACTATACTATATCCCTACAACTTGCAGACCCACAGGGCTGAAGCCAGAACAGTGACTGTTTACGGAGAGTGAACAGAGGAAGGAATACTCACAAACTGGAATTCCGTTGCTGACCCAGCCCCGGCCTCGGCTTTCTTGTCAGCACCAGCTAGAATGAGAAACACCAGTTTAGATTCATCACATGGTCCAATCCACGGCATGTAAGTCATCCAACCCAATCTTGTGGGGAAAGCCATGTCAGCAAACAGACCCCATGAGCCACCTTTGCCTCCTCCCTCTCCTAGGGCAGCCTTTCTAAGTCATTCTTCAAAACTCACAGCCCAAACTACTGCCTCCTCCAGGAAGGCTGCCCTGTCACTTCCCATCACTGAATCACCTACATGTTTCAGATCAGCACCTGGCTTACAAAAGGAGCTCAATGAAGGAAGAACTGAAAAGTAAAGGACACAATGACCCACAGAAGCAAAAAGCAACTCTATAATGACCATGGGAAAGCAGCAGGATAAAAGATCTCACGCGGCCCTGTCCTGTCCAGCAGCCACTAGTCCAAACTGAGGGGCGTGTACAATACATATCAGACTTCAAGACTTAAGAGAATGCAAAATATCTCATTGATGTTTATATGGCTTGAAAAATTAACATTTAGCAGGGTGGAGGGAGGTCAATGAGGGAAAAGAGGGGACATCTGTAATATTTTCAACAATGAAGATAAATTTTAAAAAATTAACATTCATGTTAACTATTTCCATTTGCTTTAAGTGTGGCCACTAGGAAATTTTATGATTCACACTGCAGGGGTGGGGCAGGGTTAACAGTGAGTATGATTTCAGTAAATCTTGTTTAAATCAGGGTCTCCCTTTGGCCCATTTCAGACCACATCTACCTCAGACCCGTCTGCTCACTCCCCTGCCCCTGTGACCAGTAAGCCAGTGTCTTCCCCATCGCTGTACCTTTGTTCATGCTGAACTCTTGCCTGAAATGCTCACTCCCTCTAAACCTGAGTACCCACCCTGAGGCTCAATCCCAACTGTCACATCCCCTATAGAACCATTCCTTGACTGATTTCCCATGTGACACGTCTAATAAGAGAAACTGCTAACGTTATCTAAACGGAGAGCATGTTTGCCAGAAGGATTCATTACTATCCTGTAAGATATTCAGATCAAGTGTTCATGTCTATTTCACATACAAAGAATTAGAAACCATGACAAGAGGGAGATAAAAGTGACAAAAGTCAGTAAAAATTCCCCTTTATACCTTGCTTTTATAACACAATTTTCTGTTTCTGCAACAAAGACAGAGTGACTCTTCTTATCACTCCTCTGCAAACACCAATGGCTTCCCATACCTACCCAAGAGCAAAACCCGAAGTCCTCCCATGGCCTACACCTCATCCATTTTTCCGACTATCTTCCAGAGAACCTTCACCTGAAATGCTTTCCCCAGATAGCCACTGGCTGGCTCCTCTTCACCTCCTTCAGGTGTTTGCTTAAATCTTACTTCTGCAAGACTTTCCCTGAAAATCCACTGAAAATTACACACACAACACATACCCTATAGCACCCACATCATTGGATATATTGTATTACTTATTTTTGCTTATCCATTTCCTATCACTAAAATGCAAGTTCAACGAGAGAAGGGCCTTTTGTGTTATGTACACTACTGTCTCCCCAGCAACTAGGACAGTGCCTAGCACAACACACGCACTCAATATATATTTGCCAAATGAACAAGTATCTGTTGTTCCAAGTCAATGCGAACATTTGCTATCTAAAACAAGATTTTACACTATTTTTGCAATAAGAAAACAATAAAGGTAATTTGAGTGGAGCCTACCCTCAAGGAATGTACAATACAGGAACACAACCGCAAAATAAAACCATGTTGGTTTTCTGAAAGTTTTCAGTTTTGCTCTAGTTAAATGTCTTCAACTAAAGTCTGTCCCTAGCTCAGAGCACGTTCCTCCCAAATGCCATTCGTCAAACCCCTTCATAAGGCAAGAAGCACAAAGGACCCCAGCTGGAGACTGCAAAATGAAACCAAGGATCTTTCTGGTGACTCTGGTCTCTTCAAGGGCTGAGCCCCAGCCAGGGCTGACCCAGAAACCAGAGATTCTACCCCCACACCCCCACACAGACTACATAGTACTCACGGGGCACAGCGCTCCGTCTGTAGGTGTCTCTGTCGGCTTCTCCTCGTGTGAGTCTTGCAGGTCGCTCACCCTCCAGACCTACACAAAGTAAACCACACTGTGAACATGGGGCAACATGGGAACTCTGTTCCTTTCAGGCCAAGAAAACTAGAATGGCTCCTAGTCTCACTGGAGAACAACTTAGTTACTGTAAAGGCTTAGTGGGAACAGGAACTCCTACATCCTGAACTGTCAGCTAGAAACTTGCCGTCACTGACATTTTGGCTCCTTGAAGGCCTGGGAAAACTCGCATCTTAATTAAGATGCCACACATCTGCAGAAGGATTGCTTTCTTCTACTGTATTCCTCAATATGAACGCACATTTTCCAATTACTTGGCAAATTCAGCTATTTCTACAAACATTTCAATAGCCAAAATTTTGAACCTGATCCAGCTCTGAAGTGGAAAACTTCCTGTATAAAGGAGGCATCACTGACAAAGCCCCACCTCCAACAGTAAGTATATAGAGGCCATCAAGAATTCTTCAGTGCACCCCCCACCCCCCCCCCACTTCTCCACATATTCCTTCAGGCTGTGGATACATTAAGAAAGATTTTAAGAGATACCTTAAAAACAGTCTCAAAAATACTGGAAGTTTAATCTAGTATTCTCTACCAGTTACCCTGGACCTTACCTAGAGTCCATATGGTAAAATACAAACCATTTTTTTGTTGTTTTGTTAACCCTCACTGGAGGAAATATTTTTTCCACTGATTTTGAGAGGGTAGAAGGGAGGGAGGGGAAGGGAGACAGAGAGAAACATCGATGTGAGAGAGACACATCCACTGGCTGCTTCCTGCATGCGCCCCAACTGGGGCTGGGGATCAAGCCTGCAACCCAGGTATGTGCCCTTGACCGGTAATCGTACCCACGACCCTTCAGTGCGAGGGTCGAAACTCTAACCACTGAGTCACACCTGCCAGGGCAAACCATTCTTTTTTTAATGTAGAAGAGATAAAATCGAACCTGGAGTGGCTAAAATAAATCCAGGTCCCACATAGGCCTACTAAATCAAGAGTCTGTGGGGGTACAGAGAGACAATGGTATTCCCTCACAAGTGACTCCGAGATGCAGTGGGCAACTTCTGCTCTAGAGATACACAACCCTACTCAACCACCAGAATCCCCCAGGGAGCATTCATAAAAAGTAGATTCCTAAGTTCCATGAAGTTTCTCTTCAGGGGAAACTGAACAGGCCGATCATCTGTATATAGGAATCTCTGCATCCCACCTCATCACCCAAGCCCACAAACTGCTCCTCCTACAAAGGTTCTTGTGACAAGTTTTTTCAGAACCTAAGGAAATGACAACTGGGATACAAAAACAGCTGTGAGCCAGCAGATAATCTGCCCAACATCTACATACAGAAGCATATCATTCATACCAGTGATTTTCCTGAAAAAGTTACTCAAGGCTCTACTACACATACCTGGCCAGACTAATACTCTGTGTTTTAATGCCACTTTCCGGGATAACCTGAGGGCCCGGGTCCAGTTCCATTCCAAGTCCCATGGTAGGGAACAAAGGTTCCAGGATATGACCCAAGGCCCTGTATGCTAGAGTCCCTCTACAACTGACACCAAAGGTGTATTGTAAGTCCACTTCCTTCCCACACACAAAACCCCACGGTTTCACTTATACCTGCTCCCAGAAAGAGCAGGTGCAGAACAGGCCATTGGAGGCACTTATTTGGGCACCATACCTTTGGGCCTTGGCCTGCCAGTCTCGGGACGGCTGCGGCGCAAAGTGGCTGGCACAATCTCAGGGGGCAGGTGGAGGTAGTCCCGGAGATACTGGATGCCCTCGTTGGTAAGGTACCAGTAGAAATGTCTCCAGGCAAACTGTTCCTTCACGTAGCCTCGTGATTTGAGAGACTGTAAAACAGAAAAATACCGTTGAGACATAACTCGAGTCCTGAAACTAGAAACGCGGTGCCAAGGGAAGCTTGACTGCGCAGCAGACAAGTTTTCAGGATGTATCTACCTCACAGCCCTTCAAGGCAGCAGGAAGCTCGGGCTGTCCTGACCTCTCCTTGGAATTTAACTTGAACAGCAGTGGAAAACCCCTCCATCTGCACCCCACTCCAGCAGCGCCAGGCTACCTGCATGGCCTTCATGACGTGAAGATTGGGCACGTTCTTGTCTGCCAGCTCGGGGTGTTTAGGCATGTGCACATCCTTCTTGGCCACCATCACTCCCTCCTTAAAAAGGAGTTCGTAAATGGCAATCCGGTTCTTCTTGGGCATCAACATCTGCGAGAAGAGAGCGGTCACCAAGAGCACTTCTGAGCAATGTGCCCAGGGTTCAGGGCCCGAGTTCAAGACCCTCCAACGACCACACGAAATCACTGTCCAGTGGGTTGAAATCTCAAACACAGAAACCATGCAGGAAGGAGGAATTCAAACTCTAGGCGGAAACCCACCAGTTACCAGCTCCCACCTCCACCCCGAAAACACTTCAGGCACTAAAACAAAACGGGGGTACACATTCGCTTCAAACGTCCACTCACAACCAAAAAGGAATAACGGGGGGCACCAATAACTGTACCAAAGTGCAGATGGGCGCAGAGGAGTCTTTTATTCATGACAGACCGTTGACCCCCAACCAAAGAGTTAAGGCCTTCGCATCCTCACTGCTTACCACTCTTCCCCCAAACTAGTCCCAGGGCCAAGCAAGGAGGCAACCGGGGGTGAGGGGAGTTCTTTCCCAAAGGAAAAGCGTGCAAGCGGGGTGCAGTCCCCCAGCCTCGCCCACAGACCCCGCCACGCCAGGGCTTCATCCTCCCCTCCCCGGCCCTCCGCCATCCGGACGCCTATTTTCGTCAACAGCTTCCCGCTACCCCCCAAAGTGCGCCCCTCGCCTCTCACGGCTTAGAAATGCGCGAGCGGGCAGAAGGAGAGGGGCCCCCCCACCCCAATCACGGAGAAGCGCAGCGACTACGGCAGCGAGAAGGCCAGGATGGAGGCCGATAGAACCCGTACACCTCTGGCACTCACCGCGACAGCTGAAGCGTCCGGGGCCGGAGCTAGAAAGGAAGGGGCATGCGCAGCGCGGCGCGGCGTCCCTTCCGGGCTGGCGTGCCCCGCCCCCCGTCAGGACCCGCGCACGGCCTGGGGTGGCCGCGGCGGTGCCTGGGAGACTGGCGG